TCTTGAATTTATAAAATGTTTATAAAATAGTTTTTGAATTTTTGTTGTAAAAAGTTTTGATTTGTTAATAAAATTATTTAAATGTCTGTGAATTTTCTATTTTGAGATTTAATTTTTTGTGAATATTAATCTAAAAGTTTTTATTTTTGAATAATAATTAACTTATATTTTAATATTTTATAAGTTAAGCGCTTGTTATGTGTGATTATTTCATATCCGATCACTTGTTCGCCAACTGAGGGAAAGTTTTTTTTGCTGTGGAAATAGCCTACAATCGATGAGATTTGTTACCAGAAAAGTGTTCACAAACTTATTTATGAAAAATTCTTTTCCAATGTCTTGATTGTGATCGTAACAAACAGTTCAATAATGAATAATAAGATATGTTACATACTATTGTCCCTATTTTTATTCCTTACAGCAATTGCTGTTTTATATCTTAATTCATACAATGGTTTGAATAAAATGCCCACAAAATTGAAACTCAATCTTCAATCGAGTGCTAAAATTGTGTCAAATGTGAAGAATGACAGTGAAAGTGAAGTTATTGTGCGGACACTTTATGGCCAATTGAGTGGCAAAAGATTGGATGTGTTTGGATCGGCTGTCTATGCATTTCTTGGTGTGCCGTACGCCAGACCACCTCTGGATGAGCTCAGATTTGCGGCCCCACAACCCATGAAGAGATGGACAGGCGTGAGAACAGCCACACAATTCACGCCAATGTGTCCGCAAGTGATTATTCCCAAGTCTATTGTGGACATGAATTATATCAGCGAAAATATATCCGAAGATTGTCTCAGTCTTAACATATGGACGCCTGAAGTGAGACCCAAGAAGTTGAGGACAGTTATGGTTTGGATACACGGCGGAGGCTTTCTCTACAATTCAGCTAATATTCATGAAAAAGATGGTCGAGTTTTGGCTAATTATGGAGATGTGGTCGTTGTCACCATTAACTACAGGTTTGATTAAAAATTTTAAAATATTTATTTATTTAACTAAAATATTCTGTGTTTTGGTCTAAAGGGTGGGAGTGTTTGGCTTTTTGAATACCCGCACAGAGGAGGCGCCCGGAAATATGGGTATATATGACCAGTCGATGGCATTGAATTGGATTAAAGACAATATCGTGGCTTTCGGTGGCGACCCAAACAAAATTGTGCCCTTCGGGGAGAGTGCCGGTGCTATTAGTATCGGGATATTAATGACATTCAATCGGACGAGAGGTCTGTTCTCGAGGGCCATCACCCAAAGCGGTAGCTTTTTGTTGCCACAAACGTCACAAACATTTGAAAACTCCAAGAAATTTGCAAAACTTGTCGGTTGTCTTGACGATGAAGAAGATGAGTACGTGAATCCATTTTCATTGGATACCATTGAATGCCTCAAAACCACAGACTTTGATCAACTCATGAATGTATGTTATAATTTATTTATTTATTTGTATTTTTTATATTTGATTAATTAAATGTTTATATTTTGGGTTTTACACATCATAAATCATTTATTGAAATATATAAGTTATTTTTTATTCATTCAAACTTTTAGATGATTTATGAATTGTTTTTAATACTTTCGCCGTCTGTTTATTAGGTCTCGAATTCATTCCTCAGTACATCTGTTATGGCATTCATGCCATCAATCGATTCATACTATGAAGACATCTCATCACCGGTTGATTACCTGTTGGAAGACAACTCGTATTCTAATGTCAATGAATTGCTGACTGGTTTAGTGCGGAACGAGGGCTCATTTTTTGTGTATATTCTCAATCCAAACATATTTAAGTTGGATAGTTATCCCGAGTTAAGGACATTGCAAGAGACGCGAGAAATGTTTATTAATTTGGTTAAGAATAGGACAGACATCAGAGAGGATATGCTGTCATTTGTGGCTAAAAACTACATAAAAGGTCCTCAAAGTGACTCTCCGGAGAAGAACATCGAGCGCCTGATCGAGGCGTTTGGCAACTCAGTCATGAACTGCCCGACCATTTATTTGGCCGACGAATTGGTGGCCAGAAATAAGACGGTTTACATGTATTTGTATGATCACAGACCCAAGTCTAGTCAATTTGGTGAGTGGTTGGGAACCGTACACTACACCGACGTTCCCTTTGTGTTTGGTTATCCTCTGAGAAGGACTGAAACTCATAGCAAACTCGACATCGAGTTCTCCAAAAGAATTATGAAAAATTGGTCTCATTTTGCAAAAACCGGGTATTTATTTAATTTAAAACATATTCGTAATAAGACTTTATTTATATGATATGGTATTTCAGAAAAGTATTGTCTCAAATGGACGTGGATTGGCCTCAATATGGTGAACAAAACTCATTTATGGTTTTGAGTCCGAAAAATGTATCAATAATTAATGGGTTTCGTATGGATTCGTGTAATTTCTATAAAACAATAATTCAATTAAACGGGTGATCGACTCGAATGGGAACGGGTTTCCCGATAACTATATATTTCATACATTTATCCTCAAAAGTACATTTGATTCATGAAATATTTCATTAATTAATATCTATATTGACAATATGATATGAAATGTGGTAATTATTTGTGTTTAATAAAAAACAATAAATCCAAAATTTTTCTAAAAATGGGAAATGTATTTGTATAACAATTATTGTTACTATTATTGCAAGTGTTGTCTGAAATACAGTGTTTTCATCGACTTTTAAATCGTTAAGATATTTCATTTATATGTTTAGTTAACACAAAGTTTTACCAAAAAATAATTATTCATTTGAATTTATTAGCGTTAATAATTTTGGCTTTGATTGACATTTAGTTTTGTGAAATGTTTTTATATTGCTAATAATCAGTTGAAAATTAAACGGCAGATGTCTTTCTCGAAGATAGATGGTATTATTGAGACCTTGGTAATCGCATATTACTTTCAAATTATATACAATATATAAAGAATTTTGCAAAAATTAAGTGTTTTGATTTAATTAAAAATAAATTCCTAATTAAATACAAAATTTCTTAATTGTATAAATGTTTGAATAAAAATATGATTACCAGAGATATAATATGATTAAGAAATTAAAGTTAAGCAAATAAGGGAAGATTTTAATTAATATTTTAATCAACACCTCCAATATAACAATTTAAAATATTTTAAATGTAATATTTTAGTCAAAGCACTAAATAAATGTCACATTTATGACTTATCTATAACTACTTAATTATGGGGTATATATATAGGCTATATAATATAGCTATCAGATCAAATTATGTTTAAACTAAAATGTTTCAGTTATACCACACAATTGCTGTGATTCCCTACATTTTAACGAATAATAATTTTGACATTTTAAGAAAGTACACCTGAATATTGACAACTAGACTTGCGTAAAACATCTCCCTATCTATCAATTTTAGACATCATTAGCAACAAACACATTATTAAGCTCATCAATTTTCTGCTTGTCAATATGATGTAGCTCATTTTGTTCAATCAGTGTCTATATGATTGAATTTGTTAAAAAACGATGATATAATTTGTACAAAGAGTACAGTACTGTTGATTGTTATCAATACATTTGTTAATACCGGTAGAAACCTAACTAAATAAAAACGAAACACTGTCTCATAGCAACTAATTGACCGAAAGTTTGCAAAACAAATGCACAAAACACAGTGGTAAACATCTGCTCCTCGCATAAGAGTTGTTGTCTATTATGTCTGCAAAGACTAAAATATCAGTATTTTTCGGAACCGACGACAATAATAGCGACGATTTGATTAATTTCTATCAATTGGCGAATAGTTTGGCGAATCTTGAGCTCAATATATACTCGGAATTCAATAAACACTCGAAACTCAGAATTTTAGAGTTCGAGTCAACCACTGGACACGAGTTGGAGCTCTGGATATATTACGGATCCATTGGCTCCAGAGATTCAATCCCAGCCATTGTCTCACATGAAAGTGAAGGCATTGTACTGATAGGCGGCGAATCGGTTCAGAAGTTTTTATTAGACAATCAAAAGCCTATCATTTGGTTTAAAGAGAAAACTGGTTCTCAAAGTGAGAGGAAAGGTATGTGAAAGTGAAATGACTTTTTTTGTGTTAACCTCTAATCGATATGAATAGGAAAACTTGACTTATATTTGAGTCCACTCTACAGTACATATCATTATATTTTGAGCTCTAATTCATTGACTTCTTTCTCGAAACCCATTGTCTGTTCAGAAAAGACCGGTTTATGTAACCCTTTGTCGCATTAATTATCATATATTGGATCTCTTCAAAGAATTAGATCATTTTTATTGCTTATACTATATATGCATTAATTTGTTAATAATTACTTAATTAATCGATATAAAAAATAAAAGCAAATTAAAAAATAAGTTTCATGAGAAATTAATTTGTGAATAAATTAAAACAAAATCTTTTCATCTCCCACTCCCTATTTCTCTCCCCAAAAATATATAAAGTATATTCTAGATAATTTATTTTATTTTTGGTTTTTCCAAATAAACATCATTTCGGTGACTTTGAAATGATAACATAGTTATATGCTACATACCGTAGTATTAAACATTTATTAATACAGGTATATTAATATATTTATCATTTTCTATCCAAACTAATAGCTAATAATTTAACACAATTTCAATTCACGAGTGTATCGGACGAGACAATCAAGAATGAGTTCAACAAATGGTTGGAATCAAAACTTTTTGGTAAATGAGGTGAAAATGATGGAAGAATTGGAGAAATTAGTGGTCGAAGAGAAACGTCAGACCAAAGAGAGGATTGAGAGACGGACTGCACAACAGTTGCAAAGCGTTTATTTGAAATATTTGTCTAATTTGTCACCATTTGGACCGCAAAGCACTTCAACCAGTGTTAGTGATTGGCGCGAGAAGACAGAGTCCAGTGTCAGTCCATTACATACTGACCCGTATTATGTGAAAAGTCCGGCCTTTTTATTATGCGAACCAAAACAACTGGATTTGAATTCAAATGAACGCATTTGTGACAAACAATTCACTGAAAGTCAAGAAAAGTTTACTGTTTCACAAGCTATTCAACAGCAAAGTGTAGATAACAAGAGCACCCGTAGTAGTATTGAGAGGTCGACCTCTCCAATAGATTTCCCGCAGACAAAATCAGTCCAAACAGATAATCAAGAGTTTGTTTCATCGGAAAACAGTTTACAAGTTTTGAATCATTTGGTGAATGAGTTGAAATTGTTATTAAATGATTCAAAACGAGTAAATATTGTGACACCAATTGAGGTACAGAATGACAGCAATCATAAAGTTAGGGATTATTTAACAAAATCTGTTCAAACCGTNGGCTTTGATTGACACTTAGTTTTGTGAAATGTTTTTATATTGCTAATAATCAGTTGAAAATTAAACGGCAGATGTCTTTCTCGAAGATAGATGGTATTATTGAGACCTTGGTAATCGCATATTACTTTCAAATTATATACAATATATAAAGAATTTTGCAAAAATTAAGTGTTTTGATTTAATTAAAAATAAATTCCTAATTAAATACAAAATTTCTTAATTGTATAAATGTTTGAATAAAAATATGATTACCAGAGATATAATATGATTAAGAAATTAAAGTTAAGCAAATAAGGGAAGATTTTAATTAATATTTTAATAAACACCTCCAATATAACAATTTAAAATATTTTAAATGTAATATTTTAGTCAAAGCACTAAATAAATGTCACATTTATGACTTATCTATAACTACTTAATTACGGGGTATATATATAGCTATCACATCAAATTATGTTTAAACTAAAATGTTTCAGTTATACCACACAATTGCTGTGATTCCCTAAATTTGAACGAATAATAATTTTGACATTTTAAGAAAGTACACCTGAATATTGACAACTAGACTTGCGTAAAACATCTCCCTATCTATCAATTTTAGGCATCATTAGCAACAAACACATTAATAAGCTCATCAATTTTCTGCTTGTCAATATGATGTAGCTCATTTTGTTCAATCAGTGTCTATATGATTGAATTTGTTAAAAAACGATGATATCATTTGTACAAAGAGTACAGTACTGTTGATTGTTATCAACACATTTGTTAATACCGGTAGAAACCTAACTAAATAAAAACGAAACACTGTCTCATAGCAACTAATTGACCGAAAGTTTGCAAAACAAATGCACAAAACAGTGATAAACATCTGCTCCTCGCATAAGAGTTGTTGTCTATTATGTCTGCAAAGACTAAAATATCAGTATTTTTCGGAACCGACGACAATAATAGCGACGATTTGATTAATTTTTATCAATTGGCGAATAGTTTGGCGAATCTTGAGCTCAATATATACTCGGAATTCAATAAACACTCGAAACTCAGAATTTTAGAGTTCGAGTCAACCACTGGACACGAGTTGGAGCTCTGGATATATTACGGATCCATTGGCTCCAGAGATTCAATCCCAGCCATTGTCTCGCATGAAAGTGAAGGCATTGTACTGATAGGCGGCGAATCGATTCAGAAGTTTTTATTAGACAATCAAAAGCCTATCATTTGGTTTAGAGAGAAAACTGGTTCTCAAAGTGAGAGGAAAGGTATGTGAAAGTGAAATGACTTTTTTTGTGTTAACCTCTAATCGATATGAATAGGAAAACTTGACTTATATTTGAGTCCACTCTACAGTACATATCATTATATTTTGAGCTCTAATTCATTGACTTCTTTCTCGAAACCCATTGTCTGTTCAGAAAAGACCGGTTTATGTAACCCTTTGTCGCATTAATTATCATATATTGGATCTCTTCAAAGAATTAGATCATTTTTATTGCTTATACTATATATGCATTAATTTGTTAATAATTACTTAATTAATCGATATAAAAAATAAAAGCAAATTAAAAAATAAGTTTCATGAGAAATTAATTTGTGAATAAATTAAAACAAAATCTTTTCATCTCCCACTCCCTATTTCTCTCCCCAAAAATATATAAAGTATATTCTAGATAATTTATTTTATTTTTGGTTTTTCCAAATAAACAT